TGTGATAGCAAAATTCAATCTTCATTCGTTCCTCGACTGTGCTGTTAGGGATTATCACAAAGAACGTCTAATAGAGCTTATGAGCAGCAGACAGAGGAATCCTGTATTGGAGAAATCTTTGTTGATTTATTGTTAAACAATCATTCTTTTTTTTTTAAGGGTCCAAGTTGAACTATGGGTCATACTTGGCAGACACCCATGAATTTATTAGTTTTTTACATAGTTATTTTTGCTCTACATATTGCAATACTCTCTCTTCTCTGGGAAAAAAAACCTCAGTGGCTTAACTCCTGTATCTATCCAAGCAACATGAGGAAGTGTTAACTTTATGCCTTTATGATCTTTCACACATTATTTTTACCTCAGGCTTGAAATAGTGATACAGTTATTGCATTTATTTATCAATCATTTCTATCCATCAGAATCATTCACAACAGCTTACACAGAATAAACCACTATGGGGTTCTTCTGCAGTATATACTTCATTAGACGGAGTGACTGAATTCTTTCTGATTGCATTTTTAAACAAAATCTAGATTCTGCCCTGGAGTGTTTAAACATCTAAGCCCTAAATGCTGCTGTTGTGATACAGTATTTGCCTTAATGCCCAGAAGAATTAAATATCCTAATTGTGGTACTCATAAAGTTCTAAAAACCAAGGGATATAACTGGCAAACTTTCTGAGTGTTTTTTAGTTTCTCTGCACAATACTTCTTTGAGTCAATTAGGAAAGAATGCTACAAGTATCAAAATGATGCTATAAGTATCAAAAAATGTCTTGTTCTTTATAAATAGCTGTCAAGACTCCTTGATAAAAGCTAAAAGCAAAAACTAAGTTGTGTTGTATCTCTTGGAAGTGTGAAGCTTATTTCTTTACAGCAAAAGTTAAACTTTCTTTGATTTCCCTAATCAGGACATAAATCTTTTCCAGAGTATACAATGCAGCTAAACAATAATCATACATCTTTTCCTGTTTCGTACAGCCAGGATACAGATTCCCAAGTAACTCTTTCCTTGTACTTATGGGGTATTTCCTGAGAACAAGCATTTTTGCATTCCATGGAGACATATAGTCAGGTTTGATTTGCTAGTCCCAGAACAGCAGCTGGGACTATTTTCCCAAGGTAGAGACAAATCAGCAAATCTGTATGAATGTCTTTTAGTAAGGTGAGCAACCATCCTCCTTTAGCAAGGACAGTCCTTCTTTTGTAAGTTCTGTCTTCTCTCGAAGTGTCCTACATGTCCTCCTTTTTGATATTTGAAGACTAATCTGTAAATCTCCGTATTTGATCGATGCCGATCCGATCGGTTGTGTGTGATGTGACATATTTGTATTTGACATGGCAATTCATCAAGGCTCAGTGCAGGGCGGCGAGACGTGATTATGAGATGCATGCGCTCCACACAGGAGAATTGTTTTGAGAGAGTGCGCCGCCTGCAAGTGGCTTTGTTTTTTTCTTCTTCAATTTATTTATGTCCTCCTTTTCATTGTAAAAAAATTGGTCACCTTACTTTTAGTTGGGATGGTTGTCTTCTACTTTACAATGCCAGTGATTGAAAAAGTTAGGATCTTGCTTCAAAACACAGATTTTTTTTTAAAAAAAATTAAACTTAAGAAGTTTAATAATTGCTAGGAGACCTTTGTTGACTGTGTCTAGCTGGAACTTGCAGGAGCAAATGACTAGATCAGGGGTCTCCAACCTTGGCAATTTTAAGCCTGGCGGACTTCAACTCCCAGAATTCTGGGAGTTGAAGTCCCCCAGGCTTAAGGTTGCCAAGGTTGGAGACCCCTGGACTAGATGATTGAAAGCCCACTCTTATTATCATGCATTGAATACATGGATGACATTACAAAGGGCAGGTCCTCAATTGCTCTGTTGCACAGCCATTTTGACATTATTTGCTTCCCTCCAGACAATCTGGGGTGAATATCAGGAAATATCAGGGCCCTCGGCTAGAAAATTGGGGTGGGGGTTGGGGAAAGCATCCCAGAAGAAAATAATTTTCATTTCTTTGCCCATAAGTTCCTAGATGGATTTGTCCCTGAAGCTAAACTGGACTCAAGCATTTCATTTTTTTTTTTTCAGGATGACATCCCTTAATCATGAGACAACATATCTGTTTGTATATGAACAAACCATCCAGTGATATTTGTCTCTTCAAGGTAGCAGTTGCCTTCTCTTTCCGAAACAAACTGATAGTGAAGACAACCCCTCAAATTCATGCCTGAATAATAATATTTTTTTTAAAAAACAGCACATGGTAACAACAAAACCCACATGAACAAGTTAATAAGAATCGCTGGGTAACAAAATTGTGACCATTAATATTTTGTAACAAAGAGGTAGGTGAACCTGTGAATCCCTGCCTATCACTGCCACATAAAAGGACTCGGCAACGCTGGAACAAAGTCCTCCCTAAGAACCCACCAAGGGGAAGGAGATATGCAGTGTCTCCTGGAGAAATAATACGAGCAGATTCATTTTCTCCTTTAATTCCCTAGTTTTTGAAGCAAGGGCTCTTACCGCAGGCTAACAGGGAGCAGTAGATAGCCGTCTTCTTAGATAAGACAGAGGACATAAGGTTTGTAAAGGCTTATCCACTGAGGTGGAAAGAATCAAAATCTAGAGTTTCCTGATGATTGATGGAATTTACTATGTGGGCTGACTTTAGCTTGAAGACTGTTAAAGAGTTCAGTTTCTTAAAAAGGCAGTTTTTTATTTTTTTGTTTTAGGCTCATGTAAAGCAGTGACATAGATCAATGTTTCTCTATCTTGGCAACCTGAAGAGGCAAGGACTCCAACTCCCAGAATTCCCCAGCCAGCATTGCTGGCTGAGGAAATCTGGGAGTTGAAGTCCACATATCTTCAAGCTACGAAAGTTGAGAAACAGTGACATAGTTTCTATTCACATTCACAATGGCATTGAACAGGGTAGACTCTCGTTTCCTTCATAAAAGGTTCCATTGAATTAGGCTGCTTGTCTCTGTTACTCTGATCATTGCTGCAAGGTTGAAATTATTGTCACTGCTTGATTTATGTATGTGCATATATACATTTACGGTATTTTTTGGACTATAGACATACCAGGCCATTAGATGAACCTAGGTTTAGAGAAGGAAAATGAGGAAAAAAAAAAGATTTTGGCCTCAATGAGTCCCATTTTCAGCATCCCTGGCCCCCAGAAGCGCTCTGCAGGCCAAAACAGCCTCATTTTGGGCCTCCCAAACCCTCCGCACATCCGATTTTCAGCCTCCCTAGTGCTGGAGAGGGCAAAAACAGGACCCACGGAGGCCTGTTTTTGGCCTACAGAATGCTTCTGGATGCCAGGGAGGGCAAAAACAGGGCAAAAACCCTCTGTATGCACAGAGGGTTTGGGAGGCTATAAACAGGCCCGTATTTGCTGTATAAGATGCACAGACATTTCCACCCACTTTTGGGGGGAGGAAAAAGTACGTCTTATAGTCTGAAAAATACCCTATATACCTATATACATACACATGCATATACTCCTCAGTTAGGAGTTTGAACGTTTAATCTAAGGCAGTGTTTCTCACTCTTGAAAACCTTAAAAAGTGTGGACTTCAATACCCAAAATTCCCCATCCACTATGCTGGTTGGTGAATTCTGGGAGTTGAAGTCCACACCTCCTAAAGTTGCTAAGGTTGAAAAACACTGATCTAAGGGGATCATAAACTTTCTAAATAGGGGCTCCACATTCCACCACGTACAAAATTTGCAATCAAGAAATTGACTAATCGGCTTCTTTTTCTTAAATGGATGCAAACCACTTTTCTATTTGAAAACTCAGTCCCAAAGTATAACTTATTAAATAATTTTATAAACAACAATATCTTGCCTTTCAAAAAAAATCTCTTAGAATGCTTGAATACATCAAAATAAAAAATTGAAACCAACTAAAAATAGTTTGAAAGCACAATAAATTAAAAAAAAAAGTATATTAAAGCCGTTGAAGTCTATGGATCTTGCTTCTTAGTACCGATGTCTGGGACGGAAGTGTCAGTCAATCTCCCAGGTGTTAACAGAGGGAATTCAAGGAAGAATAGGCAGTTTCATGGTTATATTCCTATCTGGAGTATCACTCCTATGATTATGATGATTGACCCAAGTGTCTGGCAAAAATAATTCAGATCCTAACAAGATTTCAGATATAATTTGATGATCAGTCTACCAAATATCCTGTTGATTGAGACAAAGAAGCAGAAAGAAAAATATATATCCATTTTTCTAAAGCTGATGTTTCTTTCACAGTACCTGAGTAGAATATAAGAATACAAAAAAGAAAGTATGAAGATAAATTCCTTAATATATCTTGCATAGGTTAAACAGCACTACGCAAAGATCAAACAATTGATTGATTTTAGTCCAAAAGCATGGATTTTAGTTTTTTTGGTTGTTAAAATTACCTCCAAAAAAAGTGTGTCTTTAAAAAGAGGGTAATCCTCTTGTAACACAATGTAAGGCATTTCAGTTCTGGCACCTTTCTGTTTGCAGTCATTTCCAATATTATTTTGTTTTTTAGAGATAGAATATTTGTCCTTCAAACATTGGAGATCCTTTAAGATATTTGACATCATGGAAGCCTGTATTAATCCTTTTAATAATCCATTGTTTTTTTAAAGTTTTACTATGAATAAATTGAAAGTACTCTTGTTTTTTTTTTTTAAAAAAAAAATCCATATGAAGAAGGCACCATAAAGAGACTCTTCAGTGACTGAAGACTGTGATATGCTGGTGAGAAAGTTTTTCACACTCGGAAAATCAACAATTTGGACAGATGATTGTGGAAAACAGGATCATTCTCTTGTCAGGTCTTTCCAGTGGTTAAATGAAAACTCTCTATTTTGTCTTTTTTTTTTTTTTTTTGCTTCAGCATCGAAATTCATGCTGTGATCACCTTGGAAAAGAGAATGAATGAATGTCTTCTTAGTGATGTGTTCTGAGAAAATGCAAAATGGGATTCAGAAGTGGAAAGATGTGTCAGATCTGTAGCACACGTCGATTCCACATGCCCCTCCTGGAATGGTAGTGATGGAAGAAATTCCTGATATAAAGTCGCTCTACCTCCAGGCCTGCCTGAAATATCCTGTAAGAGAAGGTGGAGGAAATGTCAATATGTATTTATCAAATCTATATAGCATTCCATCTTGTGACAAGTGATTTGGGGTGATGTGCAATAACGTAAGAATATAGTCAGGGGGTGAGATTCTATTGGTTTGGACCGGTTTGGGTGAACTGGATGTTAAAGTTATATCTGGTTCACCGAACTGGTATTTCAACTGATCGGCTGGCCCTGCCCACCCCTCCCAGGAATCTCCACACGGCCCATTTTCGATGGAGGGCAAAAAACAGCCCTCCTGGAAAAACCGGAAGTGCCAAAACGGGCCTGTTTTCGGCTTCCGGTGGGCCTCCAGAGCTCAGGAGAGGCTGTTTTTGCCCTCCCAGAGGCCAGGGGGAAGCCTCTGAAACTGCCACTGGAGACTAGAGGGCAGGGGTGATTCACATGCACAGCCCTATCTCCCCAAAAGAGCAGCAGCGGCAGGCACAACACGGTGAGTGATAGAAGCAAGAACTGCTGCCGCCCTTTTGCCCCCGGTGGCAGGAGCAGTGGGCGGGGCAATTAACTGCCCAGCCAGCAAATGCTTGCAGGAGGAATGCCGGGGTAAGAGCTGCGCTGGCCGGGAAGCAGTCAGGCTCCCTTGGCAGGAGTGTGTGTGGGTTCTGCTGGCTTGTTCTCGGTGGCGGGCTGGAGAGGGATGCTTCATCCTGGCCAGAGTTGGAGCAAACTCTCCCACCTACTGGCTCCCCAATCCAAGCCCCAGAAACACTGACGCCCCTTCCCTTCAAGGCCAGGAAGGGGCTCCATATTTCCAGAGGAAGGAGGTGGCATTCTCCACCCAACTTTCTCTCCCTGTCCAGGGCTGTGGAACTGAGTCGTTGGTGGGGATGTCCCGCCATCTCGACAGGGACCAGAGGGGTGGGCAGGGAGGCACGAGGACCCCCAAAAGGCCAGGCAGAGTCAGCACATGCGCTCTGGCCAGCTAGTCTGTGCATGCTCACGAGAAACTGGAAGACCAGGCACACCGGAAACTGGAAGATCATCTGTTTTTTTTCGGTTTCTGGCATGTGAGAGCGCGCACGTGGTGCCAAAAAGGTTAACCATCACTGCTCTAGATATGTGTGAAGAACAAAAACTTCAATAGAAATTTCCTGAAAAATGTATATAAAGTTTCTTCTCAAGGTTATCGAGTTAACCAATTCAATGGCATGATAATTTTGTTTTGTTTAAATCACCATGACAATATAGGGGTAGTGCTTGATTTACAACCATTTGTTTAGTGAATGTTGGGAGGTTATGATGACACTGGAAAAAAATGACTTACACCAGGTACTCGCACTTATAACTGTCTCAGCATCCCTTTGGTCATGTGATGAAAATCCAGGTGCTTGGCAACTGGCATGCATTTATGACAGTTGCAGTGTCCTGCGACCTTCTGACAACAAAGTCAATGGGGAAAGCCAGATTTGTTTAACAATCATGTTATTAACAAGGGAAAATTATCTGATTTACAACTATGGCACAAAGTTCTTAAAATTTGCTGTTTCTTAACAGCAGCAATACTCATCTCAATTGGGTTATAAGTCGAGGACTACCTATATACAATTCCTCTCTTGGGAATGGCCATTGGCTGGACTATTTTCAAAGCTACCAAATTCTTACTAACCTGTCCAAGAGTTCCCAGTCTTCCCCGCCCCATTTGTCACGGAATTCTTGCGTGTTCATTCCGCCGATACGAACTAAATCAGATTTATATATGCCCAGGAGACCAAAACCATTAATTTCCCAGTAGCCTATAAAGGAAAAACATAATAGTTACCAGTCACATTTTTTTTTTCAAAAATAAAGTCTCCAGACCATCCATGACATCTATATGCATAGGAATGAAATAGATTTAATTGGCTTGCAAATTTAAAACTCCGATGAGTAACATCAGTAAGGAAATCTAATACTATAGCAAGCAATGGGAATAGATCTAAAACTGATGACATAAAATCCTAATGAAATGCAATTGCTCTTTCACTGAAATCTTATCCCTTGGCGTTTTTCCACAAGGTAATGCCTCCAGATTTTTTCTTCTACATTAATGACCAACTTTTTTCTTAGATACTCAGAACTACCAGTAGAAGAGAATATTTCAGATCAGGGGTTAAAGTATGTGGGCCTTGGGGCTCTTTGAGCTTGGTTGTTTTCTTGCAGACATTTCATTACCCAACTAGATAACACCATCAGTATAGGGATAAGGCTTAGCTAGAATTTTTCTTCAGACCATGTTAGATCTTTACAAATAGGATTGGACAGGTTCTCTCCTCCCGCTTTTTAAAAACGTTCTGTGATAGTTATATGAGATGTCAGTTCAAGAAATTCAGTTGATAGAGATTCTTCACACAACTGAAAATTAGGCATGTGTCTAATATAATAATAATATAGTCACAATGCATATACTGATTTTGATTTGAAATTTTTCAGAATCAAAATGAAGCCAAAATGAGTTCACTGTCAAGTTGTTGATATTTAATACGATTTTGCGTATGCTTGTTAATTGTTTAGGGACCAATTATTTTTATTACACGGTGTTTGTAATGAAGTAATAGAGAGCCAGTTTGGTGTAGAGGATAAGGTATCAGCCTAGCAACCAGAATCCTGATTTCTAATAACTCAAGGCAGAAACATATCAAACACACCTTCCTCCTCCTATTTTTCTCTTCAAACTCTGTGAGGTAAGTTGGGTAGAGACAAAATGACTGGCCCAGGGTCACTCAGTTGGCTTTCATGCCTAAGGCAGGACCAAAATTCATGGTCTCTTGCTTTCTAGCCTGGTGTCTTAACCATTAGACCAAACTGGCTCTCTTACTGGTGAAGGTAAAGCCATACTCAGCTAAAGTAAACAGAATGCAATATTCTCCATTATCTGAAGAAAGCAGTTATTTTCGAAGGATAGAGAAATTGGCTGATTAAATTATTAAAAACAAAACAAAACCCTACACCAAAGTATTTCTGGGCTGGAGATTATGAGAACTGATCCCCTATGTTTCCAGAGAAGGTTAATTTAGGGAAGGCTGCCCAGAAAATAAATCTGCTATTGAAGCATCATTTGCCCACAGCCAACCCCTTACCATCTGGCTGTTGTGGAGTGGCACCACACTTCAGCCTCATAACAATGGGTGCAAAGGCCATTTTCCCTTCCACGCAGTGCTTCCGAACAGAGTCAACAATCTCTGCTGGGAAGTGGATGTGCAGATCACAAAGAAAAATGATGCTGTGAGAATCCTGTAGGCAAAGATATAACAGATAATCAGAGTTGGAAGTCCAACCCCCCGCCCAAGTGGGAGACCCTATACCATTTCTGACAAATGGCAGTCCAATCTCTTCTTGAAAGTCTCAAGGGATGGTGCTCCCACAACTTCTGAGGGCAAGCTGTTCCATTGGTTGATTGTTCTCACTGTCAGAAAGTTTCTCCTTGTTTCCAGGTTAAATCTCTCCTATAGAGCTATTAATTCCGTTACTTTCTAAGTCATTGGAATTGTCTCCACAGCCTCTTTGCCCCAGATCTGGGGTGGCCCCTTAATTTTACAGAAGACAAATCCTGTCCCAAAGGTACTTTTTTCAAGAAGCAACTGGACTTGGTTTCAGGTTTCAACAGTTTCAACAGCTCCAAGGAGGCTCCACACCATTTTGCACCACTCAGGTGACCCTGATAACACAGATAAATCTCCAGGTGACCTTAACGACTGGCTAAAAGAATGCAAATGTCCAGCTGTGTGCAAGGAGTATAAATCCTTCCATTCCCCACCATCCAGTCAGAGCTGAAGAAGCTTCTTGGATGAGAAGCAAAAGGTCTTCAAAGAAAAACCAGAGAGTCCAGCTGCCTCTTGAAAAAAGCACCTTTGGGACAACCATGACCTGGATGACTGAGAATCTCCATAGACAAGAGAAATCCTGGTACCATCCTTTTTTCTTTTTTATTTATTTTTATTTGTCAATTGCTTACAAGATAATAGGTATAAGTAAAAACATAGTTATGAATACACGGATACATATAAGGAAAATAAAAAAATAAAAGAAACAATAGGACAGGGATGGTAGGCACGTTGGTGCACTTATGCATGCCCCCTACAGACCTCTTAGGAAAGGGGTGAGGTCAATAGTAGACAGTCTAAGGTTAAAGTTTTGGGGGTTTGGGGAAAAAAAACACAGAGTCAGGTAGAGTATTCCAGACATTGTCCTCTTGCCTTCGGCCTGCTGCTGAAGCCAGATCAAAGGGATCCAACAAAACACAACAAAATATCCAGTGCTACATGAAGGAAGGATCTGAAGGCTGTGTTAGACTTCTCCATCACTGCACATCACAGAACCATCATTCAGAGAAGGTTGCATGGCTGTTGCATTTATATTTCTGGTAATGTTAATGTTCTGGCCAAGGGGCACTAAAACAGCAAAGCACCAAGAGGAATTAGGATCAAGCGGTTAGCATGCAGGAAATGTCCAGATCAGGATTTGAGAGCTGTGCACATTGGCCTGTTTTCTACTATTTGCAACCGATGCTTACCTATCAATCCTTTTCCAGTGTAGCTATGCATTGATGCCTATGTGCAGTTGTGGACAAATCTAAATCAAGCTTTAGGGAGGCTGGTGAGGCTGCCACTCTGCAGAATCATCTCTTCCAATTAGGCCATAGGCCTTCTATACCTCTATGGTTATTTCTGCTCTGACTCCTGAAGAGAATATTTCATTTCTTTTCTATTGGTTTTGTTCCAGTACAGAAATATAGATCTGTCAAATATTCCCATATGTACAGGATCCCATCACAGGACAAGCATCTCTTGAAAAATGCAGAAATTGTGTTGAGAAAACTTGAAGCATTTTTTTTCCATTTCTTTCTTAATTGCTGAAATATTATTAACATTGAAAATTAAATTAAACATTTAATTAAATTAAATGTTAAGGTTAATTTTCTCTAGCTTATCCATTGCCTTTTCTCTTTTCCTTAGAAAACTTCCCCCCATTTTCCAATCTTTTTCTGAATAACTGATTGTCTCTAAACATCATCTTTTTAAAAAGAACTATCTATTCGTTTGATTTTATTCAATTCATGAGCCATCAGACTGCCAACTGTCTCTGGGAAGCTCAAAGTATGATAAACAATAAAAATACAGTACAGAACAAAACACAGTGGGATCTGACCATTTTATACAAAAACATAGCCAGAAACACAAAGGACTCCATCCATCTTAACCAGTGGTGGGATTCAGCCAGTTCACACCACTTTGGGAGAACCGGTTGTTAACTTTCTGAGCAGTTTGGTGAACTAGTTGTTGGAAGAAATCCTTAGGGTGGAGAACCGGTTGTTAAATTACTTGAATCCCACCACTGACCTTAACACAAATTTTGGGAGAACCTCCAGAGCTTCAAAGCTTGATGGAATACCAATTACGTGGTAGCCACATTGTTATATCTCACCTGTGCCCACGAGGTGAGAGTCCAAGTTTCCAAAGGAATATAAACAAGCAGACAAGACCAGTAATGACAGGGTTAAATTCCTTTGGCTGGAGAAGTCCTTGGCAGTCTCCCACAAGCTGCCTGCCAAGTCCAATAATAAAGCAAGAACATAAATCACAGGCATTCGCCACACACAGAATTTGTTGAAGCTTCTATCCCAAATTAACAAATTGTCCCAAATGAGAATCCAGAGTTAACACGCCCACTTTTATTCCCTGAGGGGCGTGTCAGTCTCTCATCTCAGTCCCTGATTTGTCCTTTTCTTTTACGTTGCATCTCACGCCTATGCCTGCGTCTTTGCCTCTCATCAAACCAACATTCCTCAGTTTGATCCTCAGCCAGAGGCTCCGCTATGCTCTCCTGATTATCTGCCGACACCTGAGGCACAACCAGGGAGGAAGGCAATTCCAAATCCTCCAGCAAAGCAGGCTCAAACCTCAGAGCCAAATCCTCCTCTTCCTCATGGCTCAAGTCTGTGTCTTCTAACAGAGCAGGCTCAAACCTCCGAGTCACAACACACATGGTTTTCAGCAGGAAATCAGTGACAGAGAAGGCATGCTACCTGGGATCCTATAAATAGCACTGTTTCATGAAAATGACCCAAAGAACACCAACTGTGCCAATGTGTGACAGCCAGGCAGAAACTATGGGAGATAGTCCCTCAGTTAACCTGGCATGTGCCTGATTGAGCTTTATAAGTGATGCACCTGGAAGCAAACTAACAGTTAATGAAGCTTGTGAAGCAGAGATGCCAATACAGCTGAATCATCTTATTTGAAATTCATCGTGCAAAGATGATTATCTTTAAATGCCTTTTCCTTATAGTTGCAGCCATGTAACAGTCTACATTACAAATGCTCACCACTCACCTTGACTTTGTCTATGCCAGCCTGCAGACCTTTAGACCTCTCAAAATTCCCAGACAATCGCAAGTATTGGTAGCTGGAGAAAAGTTAGAGAAAATGGAGTTATAATTGTGACAAAGTGGGCTATGGAAGTTCTTGCAATCCTTTCTCAAATCTGTTACAAATCGCCATCTGTTTTAAAGCAAAACTATTTCTCAATTTGAGTCTTCCATCCATAAAATGAAAATCTGAATGTAGAGTTGTGACTTGTCATTCCTACAAGCAAGAAGGTGCAGTACGGGCAAGGTAAATTTGCTGCACCTCACCCTGAGTAAACACAGCAACTGAAATGCTACAGGTGAAAGGAGTCGACTATAGATAGAATTAACTGGGTGAATCAAATGAAGACTTTAGGACAAAAGTAAGGTTTTTTTCCCAAACATCAACAATTTATAACATAGCTAAAATCCTAATAGATACGATGAGATCTCACTGAACATCTTTATGATCTTGTACAATTTGGACTTCTCAATAAATACTTGATCATTTTTAGAGATGAATCTAAATGCTGAGTTAATCATGCATAAATCTATTACCCTTGCTTTGGGTTTAGGGTATCCTTATTTCAAGAAACTCCCAACTGGTTAGTACCTGCAGTGATTTAACCCAGTGCTCCAGAATGGAAATGGGTGATAAGAGAGAAATGTATACCCTTAGAAGCCAGTTGGAACATCAATTCATTACTGCATCAACTCTTTATAGGCTTGGTATATGGTGACTTCTGTTTCTATTTGAAAACACATTTCTTAAAGGAAACAAATCCTTACCTATGCAAGCTTGACTGTTTCAGAGCTTTTTCTATATTCATGTCATCACTGCTGTAGTCTACGATGATTACATTGAAATAGGGGTCCTTAGTAATCCTGAATAACTCTTCCATGTCAAAAATGAACTGCTTCACCCAGCGGGCCTGATTTTTCACTGATCGGGGGAAGAAGGAAAAGAAGAGAATCAAAGGAAAACCAGCATTAAGATTGGACCGAGGTGCCCCAGGTACAAGGTTAGGCACGAGGCTTAGTTCCAAATTCAATATTTTATACGCATAATCCTTGACTTACAACCTATCGTTTAGTGATCATTTGAAGTAACAATGACACCGGAAAAAAAAGAGATTTTTCGCACTTACAATGGTTGCAGCATCCCCACAGTCGTGAGATCAAAATTCAGACTCTTAGCAACTGGCGTGTATTTGTGACAATTGTTGTGTCCTCTGACAAGCAACGTCAATGAGGAAGCCAGATTCACTCTACAACTATGTTACTAACTCAACAACTGCAGTGATTCATGCAACAACGATGGCAAGAAAAGTTGTAAGATGGGGGCCAGGCTCACTTAACAACAGTCTCGTTTAGCAACATAAATTTTTGGGCTCAATTGTGTTCCTAATTCAAGGGCTACCTTGATGTATAATACTGTGCTTGCAACTCCCGTTAAATCAGCATGTGGGGATCAGGGCCCAGTGGGGCTGTGCCCAGCTTCAGCTGATGTGCCAGTTGCGACCTCACCTGAGACCAGTGGTGGAATTCAACTGGTTCACACCACTTTGGCCAAACCAGTTGTTAAATTGCTGCTGGCCCCTCCCCTCCCCACCCTGCCCTTTCCAGGGGTTTCCACACACCCTGTTTTGGCTCCCAGGTAAGTGCAGGAAGGCCTACTAGGACCAAAATGGGGCACGGGGGTTGTGGTGCGCCCCCCCCCCAGCCTGTTTTTGCTCCCGGAGGGGTGCAAGAGTACTACCTGTCACGCCCCCCTGGCCACACCCACCATGGCCACGCCCACCCAGCCAGTCATTAGAGCAGAGAACCGGTTGTTACATTATTTGAATCCCACCACTGCTTGAGACTTTAAAAAACTGGCACTGCCTCACACTTTCATTACAACCAGAGGAAGCTAAAGCATCAGATTTTACAGGGGATGCTTTAAATGGTGCAAAATGCATTGCCCTGGAAATGTTGCTTTTCCGTCAGTGGGTGGCATGATTTCTCCCTGGAGCTTTGGGTGATATTGTAATCTGGACAAAACTGAGAAAAATATTTTCAAAGTTCTTTGGGGTGTGATGAGAGTTATTGTGTTATCGAGTTTTAAATGTATTTTCTGCATATTTTTAGTGCGACAAATAGTCAGATACCAAGTATCAAAATACTAAGATGGCTCAGTACCAGTGGTGGGATTCAAATTTTTTTACTACCGGTTCTGTGGGCATGGCTTGGTGGGCCTGGCTGGGGAAGGATACCGCAAAATTTCCAATCAGAGGTGGTATTTGCTGGTTCTCCAAACTACTCAAAATTTCCGCTACCGGTTCTCTAGAACTGGTCAGAAACTGCTGAATACCGCCTCTGCTCAGTACTAATATCTAAAGTTTAAAGAGCCATGGTGGTGCAGTGGTTAAAATGCAGTACTGCAGGCTAACTCACTGCTCACTCCAGGAGTTCAAATCTCACCAGGCTCAAAGTTGATTTAGCCTTCCATCTTTCCGAGGTGGGTAAAACGAGGACCCAGATTGTTGTGGGTAATATGCTAACTCTGTAAACCACTTAGAGAGGGCTGTAAAGCACTGTGAAGCGATATATAAGTCTATTAATATTTGCCCTACATCATTTGAAAGAGAATCCCGAGTATTTATGACATTGGAAGAACAGGAAAGAGACAGCAGCATTTACAAGAATATTGGAGTTGCCGAATGTAAATCTAACATAAATTATGACGAGTTAAATCTAGGAACAAATTGTGGGAGAGGCCTTTCATTCTCTTCTTTTGAACAGTAATTAAATATAATTTTGATAGAAGGGAATATCTGTAGTTCATGGTTGAACTGTAGGGTCCTTGGTGCTCTTTGAGCTGGGTAGTATATTTTCAAGAAAACCACCAAGTGTCAATTCATAAAACATTCCTATGCCTGTTTTTGTAGTTGCCATAAAAAGAAAAAAAGGGGGGGGGGAATCTGGAAGAGCATTGCAGCAAAGTGAACGTACATTCCAACTCTTTATCTTTAAAAGATTGTAACTAAAATACCAGAGATTTTTCCAGTGAATATATTTAATTGGAAAACATGAATGATGACACCCAGCCTGTGAATATGCTCAATTGGAGAATCTGATTTATAAGACAAACAGGGGTTGACACCAAGCTCACCGAGTACCAATTATTCCATAAATTTAATTACTCCTAGTTAACAGGGAGGACACCTAACTCTATTGTTCTCCCAGCTGTCTTTCTAGCAATGCACACAACATTCCATTCACTTAAAGAGATCAATTCTGTCCCATTACCGGGCACTATAAAGTGGACAACCGCACGGGGGTTCCATAAGAAGCTTAATGGCCAGCAGAGCACAGGCTCATCCTTGCTGGTCATCAGGTGACGTCGGTAGCCCCACGCCAACTCCTTCATATTGGCTTCCTCCTCTCTGCTGCTGCCCCCATGCCAGCCACGTGCGTAGACGTATTCTGAGAACCGGACTCGGCGTTTTCCCTGCTCCAACAGTTCCAGCTCCAGAAAGTAACGGCTGCCCCTTAGGTAGTCTTGACGCTTCTCCACATTCACAATGCGCTCTAACTGGAACCGCCTGGAAATAGGAGCACTCTAGTTTAGATTTTGGGGTTAGGGATGGGGCCCACCAAGCATAGCTCCACTGCCCTGATGCTCAGCAAAGATCTTCCCTGCATTTTCTGCCTGATTTAGTTCGGTTTGGACTACTAAAGATCATCAGATATCCCTAAGACTTCCATTATATTATCTTGATGCATGATAATATTCCCACCATCATGCAGCAGGTAAAAACATGTGCTGGCTTTGTTAAAATGGGGCATGTGCTCCAACTTTTTATTTGCTTTGGCATTCAGAATCTCATGATTCAACTATTGTCTAATTGACTATTTTGCACCTAAAATCAGCACCCTTGTTGCAACTGTATATCGCTGTTTTGTCTACTTAGCGGTGAGATTTGGCTATACGATTTGAGATTTTTAGCTGTGAAAATTTCTCAAAGTATGTGTATGTGTGTGTATGTGTATTCCAATATTTCAGGGGCTACCACAAATAAGAGGGAGTCAAACTATTCTCTAAAGCACCTCAAGGCAGGACAAGAAGCAATGGGTGGAAACAAATCAAGGAGAGAAGCAACTTAGAACTAAGGAGAAATTTCCTGATAGAACAATTAATCAGTGGAACAACTTGCTGTCAAAAGTTGTAAAATAATGCTCCAACACTGGAAGTTTTAAAGAAAAGATTGGATAACTATTTGTCTGAAGTACTGGAGGGTTTCCTGCTTAAGTAAGTGGTTGGACTAAAAGACCTCCAAGGTCCTTTCCAACTCCGTTATTCTATTCTATTCTATTGTATTCTATTCTATTCTGTTCTGTTCTGTTCTGTTCTATTCTATTCTATTCTATTCTACTCTACACTACACTCTACTCTACTCTAATCTATGTATGTATATGTATGTAGCATGTTTATATGTGTGTATGTATAGGTATGGGTAGTATATACTTTCTTTTGAGAGCAGGCAACAGAATTTCATTTTTGCTTACAGTAAAAAATGATACTAAAGGTTATCTTATCTTATCTTGGTCTGCCAACTAGAAATATCTGAATAGTAGAAACAAAAAACAAGACCCTTACTCTACAACCCTTACTTCCTAGACTTTAACAAAACATCATCACATTGAGATCCGGAGTTATTCCTAACTATTAATTTAGGCCTATAGAATGCATAATGAAATCTCATTTTATGTTGTCTACTCCTGTTCTGTAGTACTACCTTCTGTAAAGATTAGAGTGGCTGCAAGATCCCTTCCATCTTACCCTTTGGTCTTCTGGTTCAGTTTTTTAAGGAATACTTGAACAACCATGCTGGCCTCCTTCTCTTGTAAAAGCAGGTTCCCAGAAGTGTTACACTTCAAATCAATCCGGTCTGACCGTAGAGCTTGGAAGTCTACATTTCTGGCCTTGAAAGTCTGCTTCCAATTTACTACTGGGTCATAGAAAAGAGGAGGAGAAGCGAATAAGTCATCATCGTTTTCTTCTTCTTCTTCTTCCTCTTCATTTTCTTCTTCCACTATTGTAACATGCTCTTCCTTTTGGGTTGCTTGGTGGGAAGAATCAGTCCTCACTTGCTGCTTGGAATCTAAATCTCTCCTATCGATAATGATGTTAGTGGCATCTGCGGCTTTATGTCGGGCTATGTAGGAATCCACTTGCTTAAGCCATTGGTTTTCATGCATAGGCTGCTCTCGGGGGGTCCTCTTGCCAGTTTCCTCTTCAACTTTTTGGGGATCCCTTCCAATTTTGCTGGTATTCAATGACACTTTCTGGGTTCCGGTTGCATTGAAGCCTAACTGAGCTTGACTGGCTTCTGTTGTTGAATTCCCACGTTCCTTAGTCACCTCGGGTCTTTTGTCAGTCTGCAAATCTTTGCCTCCTACTTTCCTTTTGGTTGTTGATCTGCGGACATTCCTGTCCTGATCGGGAAGGTTTTGAAAGTTTGTGCTAAATATCATCTGGGAGGTCCTTGTGGTAGAATGACTTTCTGCTTTGGTTTTGTGTCTCTTCTCATCTGTCTTCTGCCTGTTTTGGGTAACTGACAAGATATTCCGATGTTTCTGAACCGAATTGGCATAAACATTGTTATAGCGATCAGTTGCCAGGTGGACTTTTCCAGGCTCTATCTTTGCTGTTACTGGATCTGCATACTGAGGTTCATCAAAACTGTCCTCTTCATAAGCTGAAAGGAATTATAGTACTCTAAGGCACCTAAATCATTGAACATTAAATCTCTAAGTCAGGGGTGTCAAACTCAAGGACCACGGCCTGATCGGCCTATCGGGTGCTTAAATCTGGCCCTCAGGGCTGCCCTGGAAACAGTGAAGGACCAGCCTGTGGTGCCTCTGCCAGTGAAAACACAGCTTGGGAGGGCTGAGCTCCATTTTCACTGGCAGAGCACTGCGGGAAGTCCCTACAGGCGCCCCGACATGAGTGATGTCGAGCTGGCCACGCCCATCCCGGCCACCCTTCCCTGAGGTTAAACACAACCCTGATGTGACCCTCAATGAAATTGAGTTTGACATCCTTGCTCTAAGTATATTACATAAATATCATCATACTGAAACAACAAATCATACCGAAACCTAGGAGGAACAGATGGCCTACATGGCTAGATTTAATAATATATTTAACCATTGAGCTAGCTCTATCTTACACTTCATGAATATATTTTTAGTTTCTTCAAATGTTCATTGCTATTCTTTTGGTTCTATTACCAGTCACATATTTTTGGATATACTTCATCATATCTTCTAGTAGCTAGGTTTCACCAATAACATATTATTTAAAAAATAATAATAAAATTACATACCTTGTGTCTTGTTATTTTGTCTTATTTTCACTAAGCAACAAAGTTAACCTTCATTGCTCACTTTCTTGCTTCAATCCCATCCGAAAGAGCTATTGTTTCTTAAGCTAAGAGATGCATAATTTTTTTCTAAGAGTGTTGAGGAAAGTAGGAGATAGCTATGGTTGTATTGAGTACAAAACTGAAGTGCTAAAAAAAACCCTGTGTTGCTCATTTAATTAGAGATAATGCGTCCCATGTATCTATTTTAAAGGTGCTGAATGTAATCTACAAATGCCTTCCCCAGCTATCTATATACTCACGATATATCATGACTAGCATCACAAGGCTAGACTAGATAATTAGATTTAATCTAATGCTAAATGCTAATGCATTTTTAATCAATAATCAGACTTAAAGCATAAGAGGGAGAAGGATAAAGCTAGCTTCCACATCTGACATAAAGATACATACCTTGTATTTTTGATTCATCTTCTGGTGGATCCATCTGCATGTATTTAGAAAATCCAAACCTGCAAGATTTATGCCAATTACTTCACATGACCAGCATTCAATATCCCCTCTTTGACATATGACCGTAATGGAGTTTGCCGATCATGGTCATATGTCATGATGGTCACGAAATGGGACAGGCAACCAACCTGATTTTAATTTGTTTGGGGTTGTTTTTTTTTTTGAAGACAACCAGACTGCAGCAGTCAAGAAACAAACACTGCAGTTGTTAAGTGAGCCCATTGCCTGCTATGGAATTATTTTGGCAAAACCATCATAAAACACAGTTACATGACCATGGGATGCTGCAAATGGCCATAAATGCAACCACATTGTGGGGCATCTAAAGTGGGGTCACATGACCTGGGAGGGAGGACGGTGCAATTTAGGCACTTCAGAACCAAGTTGTAACTGTTTTTTCCCCCCAAAACAAAGTGTAATTTTCAATGGTCATTAAATGACCAGTCATAAGGGGAGGACTACTTGTATTTCTTCAGCTTCTAGGAACTATTTTATGCAACCAAGAGAATCAACTGATGTCAATTTTCCCAAAATGTGTCACTTTGAAGCTTCAGACAACCAGTTGAATTCTTTTGCCTTTCCCCAAACATGGAAAAATTACATGTCAGAGAATTCTCAGCCGTAATTTTTTTATTGCATCAGTTAATTCGTGATACTCGTGAAATATTTATCTCAAGCAGAGACAAACCCAGAAAGAGTGCCAACAAATTCTAGCCACCAATCCCTGATAAATGGGTTCTCACTATTTTTTAATCAGAAAACAAAAATTCAATGGTGCATAAGTCTTTTCAATATCCTTTTAGATTTAATATACTATCAGTCATTTGCTTATGTGTGTATATGCACAATGATTATTTTGAGAGCCGAATGCATCGAAATTTCATTTTAATGTATGCTGATTAGTATACATTTAAAGTGACAATAAAGATTCTACTCTAACTCTACTGTACTCTACTCTATTCTCTGAACCCATTAGCCTTAAGGAAAATTCCAGTTATTGAAAAAATATTTTAGCAACCATATAAAAAGTTATGGGAGGAGTTTATTTACCTCTTCAGATACAACTCACTTTCCTGGTAGATGCATTTGTTAAGTGACTCCATGTGTGTCAACCGGGTGTAGTCATTGGGATACACAAAGGACAGTCGAACCTGGAAACACCCAAAGAGAATTGAGCAGAGTATTTTGTTGAGTGAAGAACAAACAATGCTGTTATTCCCAAAACTGTATGTTTATCTTGACTTATGTCCACATATATTGCCTGTGATGTATTTGAGTTGAAATACATTTCTTTTTGTGCCTATGATAACAAGCATATATTGATTGAGTCATAATCAGAGGTGGTATTCAGCAAGTTCTGACCAGTTCTGGAGAACTGGTATTTGAAATTTTTAGTAGTTCAGAGAACAGCAAATACCACCCCTGATTGGCCCCACTCCTATCTATTCTTTGACTCCTAATTTAATGCAGCAGATTTTACCAATTAGGGTCAGAATTTTAAAGTGTCATGTCATTCATGTCATCATACATGAGAAATAAGTAATTGTGCTTCTTCACAGTAAGGTTGGAAGTGTGAACTGACCATACAAATAAAGATAACCTTAGTTCCCAAACTTTCTGTCCGGTGGGATCATAATGCACAGGTTGGTTATGGTATAATATATGTGTAAATGCCATACAATCAAAATTAAACTAAATATCTAAAATATTCTTTTTAAAAGCTTTGAAATAAAATTTTGGAATTGATGGACAATATTTAGGAATTTTCATCTGGGATCTTGAACTCTTAAGGGTAAAATCAATGGAAAATAACATTAGACAACTGTAAATGAACTTGTGAAATTTGGTTTGTTAAAAACATTTTGAGAGGTCCATTTCTGCTGCCATCATACAAAACTGTATAATGAGCCCATTGTCATAAAAATTAATGTCTTTTCTCTAATGCAAGTAGGCTAGGTAAGACTCAAATTATGTCTCATGTCAGTAGACGAAGCAAATAAAGCTTGGATGGTATTAATTAGTGAAAAAAAATATATAACAAACCCCTCAACTAATGTGGAATACTCACAGGGGTGGAATTCTACTGGTTCAGACCAGTTCGGGTGAACTGGATGTTAAAGTTACAGCTGGTTTGCTGAACCAGTATTTCCACCGACCGGCTGGCCCCATCTCTCTCACCCCACCCCTCCCAGGAGTCTCCACATGGCCCATTTTTGATGGAGGTAAGTGCAGGGTCTGGGCGGAGGCTCTGGAAGGGGGAAAAGTAAGCCTTCTGGAAGTCCAGAAACAGGCCTGTTTCTGGCTTCCGGTGGGCCTTCAGAGGCTAGGAGGGGCTGTTTTTACCCTCCCAGAGGCCTGGGGAAGGTCTCTGGACCCTTGGGAGGGTGAAAACAGCTCTGGAGGCCCATCGGAAGCCATAAACAGGAAGTTCTGGTAGGCCATGCCCACCATGGCCATGCCCACCCAGCAACCGGGAAGCGAACCAATTGCTGGGATTTTTGAATCCTACCCCTGAATACTCATCAGGAGCAAATTCTCAAAAACGGTTCAAGATTATACAATGGTTGATAGACAACTACCAGAGGATACTAAGTACAACTATGCTATTTCAATATAAGCCATCCCTTGATACCTTCAGTGGCCAATGTGTGTAAGCTGCAAAAAGACATGAATTGAGAAATGAGACTCACAAAATTGAGACCCTGGTAGCGCTGTAGTTTGAATCCATTGACCACGTAACTTGGTTTGTATCGACATTCTGGAAAGATCCGGCGGACGTGGGATTTCCTTAAGAGAGGCACTAAGGAGACCAAAAATAAATGAAAAAGGGGGCAATTGCAAAGGCTACCTTTTCAAGCTGTCAAACATTACCTATCAAACATTGCAGTCAGGTAACAGGCCACCTGGAATTAATGTACACAGTTTGGCCTCCTTCATTTCTGAATATTAGGGCTATGCAGAAACTTTGAAAGAGGTGATTTGAAAAGCCCGATAGTGCCAATGAAGCACTTCAGTTTCCCCAATTGTCTCTGCATGTATGTGCCTGCCCAGCCAGTTTGTTTTGCTAGTGGTTCCAGCAGAAGCATTGTCTACGCATAGACAGACATATATAAAAGCCCCCTGTCAGCTTTTGAAGCAGCTGCGTGAGTCTTGTGAAGATCAGATTGTTCCAGAGGGTATTTGGGGAATGACCTTTGGTCACTAGCAGGCTTATTTGGTTTTGTTTCTTTTTTCTATTGGATTTTCTTTTTTTTAAAAAAATGACTATTCTTGCCCTACTAATGCAACTGAACTCTGAAGAGCAGCCGAGCAGAACATCAGAATGTTTACATGCATAAATTGTGTCCCGGTGGTCAGCCTTCAGCATGTCTGCTGGATGTTCTAGAGCATCCTGACCAGGCATCTGGTTTGCCCGAGTGGCTGGTGTCTGTGGGATATGACCAACTTCATCCATTTTGAGAAGAGTTTCGTCTAAGATACAAAGAAAGAAAAACTAATGAAGTATGGTTGAAGTATGATTTATAGCAGAGGTCTCCAAACTTGGCAACTTTAAGACTTGTGGACTTCAACTCCTAGAATTCCTCAGCCAGCTGAGTGTGAATTCCTGACAGTGAGAACAATTAATCAGTGGAACAACTTGTCTCAAGAAGTTGTGGTTGCTCCAGAAGTTTTTAAGAAGATATTGAACAACCATTTGTCTCCAATTCTATGCTTTCCTGCCTAAGCAGAAGATGTCCAAAGTCCCTTCCAACTGTGTTATTCTATTCTATGATAGATGGGAGAATGGAGAAATAATTTTATTTGCTTAGGATATGAGGCAGTACTTGAGAAAATATGACTTCTAGAAGACATCTAGACCTCTAGTCATCTAGATTTGGTCTTCTCAGGTTGGCAATTTCCAGACAAACCAGGGCTGCATTCCAAAAATCCTCAGCTTGTCTAAGGATCCCAGAGTAGGAAATGCAGCCCTATGAAATTCTATGCTGTCTTTACCAATACTGGAATTCCAATGTCAGGAGAAGCAAAAGATTTGAGGCACATTTAAAGGTCCCTTTTCTCCCAGTTGCCCTATATCCTTAGCCTCTCCATGCACCAGAAACATATATGACACAGGGAGAAAATTACATCAACTCTGACCTGATGTAGTTACATTTTCTCCCATTCTTTCAAACTTGTTATTCCATCTCTTCCACTCTGTTTTTTTTTCCTGTTAAAGAAGGTCCATTTCTTGGGGATCTTATAGAGCTACTACCGGAAGAGAAGCCATGGGTTGTGCCCAAGAGGTCTATTTTCCCAATCCAGCTGGTGTGCCAGTTGGGAATATAATTAGAAAAAGAGGACTTTGCTAGAGTGACTCACAATCTCATTGCCCCTGGACTTCTGTAATGCCATAGAATGCATGTGAAAACTACAAGTGGTCCAGAATGAAGCAGTTCACATGTTGTCAGGTGCTCGTACTTTGAGTATGTGACATTAATTTTGTGAGTCTTACATTGATTGTCAATAGGTTTTTTTTTGGGGGGGGGGACCAAAGTGCGGATTTAAATCTACAGTTCCGTTATATGGCAAGGTATCTGGAGATTTTCAGGATCACCTCTTACTAACCAGCTTTTACTGAGGTATCACTTGGGAAAAATTGCTGATAAGTGTCCTATTTTGATAAATAAGAGACAGGAATGCCCCTAAATGTTGTTTCTGTGGTAGCCTCAGTTTTCTGAATAGTTTCCCACTGGCCGATAGTTAACTTTAGAAAATCTAGTTATACTTTAGAGAACTATAATATGGCATAACATCATCCACAAAAATAACAAAAAGTTTCCTTTGGTAGGTGCATATAGTAAAGGGCCATTAAATGGAGCTTTAGACAAAAAACTGTACTGTGTAAGCCAATCAGTTTTGTCTCTTGACACCCTGTGAAATCTGTCAAATATGTAAACATGCCTAGAAAACATCTGTTTTCTGTGCACTAGCATTTGTGACAAATCATTTCAGATAAAAAGAGGTCATGAAGTCAGAGAAGAATGGCTACTGCTATTAGTTTGGTGGTATAGAAAGACTTACCAACATAAAGGGAGAGGAATTCAGAATCAATAATTGTAAACTTGGCTTCAGGATTATCCAGTCTCCACTGAAAGAAGAAGACAGATGCATAAAGATTTTATAGATTTGTTAACTGGGACAGAAAGCAGATTAATCTAAATGCACCTTGACTATCGTGGCGTTTCGGAAAAGAAAACCTGGAGATTTACTGACTTCTGGAAGAACACTGTTGAGCTGCGTTTGATTTTCCAGGTTACAATTTCTGATCGACAAACTCAAGGAAACTATTTCAGAAATATTTTGTACAGTTAGTGATTGAAATACAATTTGGTTTGAAATTTTAGGACTTGCTTCATTCAGCAGAAGCGATTTGCAAAAAGTTAATGGTAAAGAGTACAATTTAATACAACCAGGGGTGGGATTCAAATTTTTTAACGATCAGTTCTGTGGGTGTGGCTAGGTGGGCATGGCTAGGTGGGCCTGGTCATGCCTTTTTTTTTTGCAGCCCCCCCCCCCCAATTTTGGGGCCTCCTGGGCCTCAGGAAAGCTTCCTGGGGGAGCGTTTTTGCTCCCAGAAGGCTTCCCTGGGGCCCAGAAAGGCAAAAAATGGAGTGGGGGGGCACGCAGAACCCACCTGTGCTCCATTTCGGGGGCTCCTGGGCCTCAGGGAAACCTTCTGGGGGGGGTATTTTTGCTCCCAGGAAGCTTCCCTTGGGGCCCAGGAAGGCAAAAAATGGAGCAAGGGGGAGAGCAGCCCCCCATTGCACCCCCCCTTGCACGCCCCTTTTTTGCCTCCTGGGCCTCAGGGAAGCCTCCTGGGTGAAGTGGTAAGACAGCATGGGGGATCCCGGAACAGCTGATCATTGGAACAGCTGATCATCACAGGGGGAAAAAAAAGAAATACCTTAAGGAATGACTGGGCGGGGGAGAACACAATCAGCGATATTAGGCATTTGTGTGATGTCGTGTATGTGCAATAAGTACTGACTAGGTGGGGAGGGGAAGGGCGGGCAGAGAGAGGTGGGGCCAGCCAGAGGCACAATTTGCTGGTTCTCCGAACTGCGCAGAATCATAACAACCAGTCCAAAGCGGTAGAGCCCCACCCCTGAGTACAACTAAATTAAGTACGACTCTGGCAAAGACCATATTTTCATTTTTCTTAGGGGGAGATTAAATGGTATACGAACATGGAACCAACAGATTCTATTTGGGTTTCTGGAATGTGATAAACTTATCAGGTAGGATGTGAGATACATGCAATCTTTTCTTTATTTTTTCCTCTTCAGTATCTTCTCCCTCCTCCCCCTTTTCCACCTAGAGACATTTAAGGTGGTTTGAGCATTTTGACTACCAGAATCATTGTTGATATGTGAAATTGCTGTATCAGAAATAAGATGCTTTCTCTGACAAGAAGAAATGAAAAAGTTGGTCCATGAAATTTGTCTAATGTCAAAACCCCTAAGTCAAATTCCTGTACAGACAACCAAATACAAATCTAACTAGTGAACTTACTGCAACTTCCACATGATCTGTTCCTTTGTCATCCTGCTTGTGCAGAATTTCAAAGTAATATTTGTTTGCAGCTGACAATCTGTAAGGGAAGATCAGAGATTAAAACAAAATAAGTCTTTTGCTATCAATACAGTGTATTAAAATTATAGAGTGGTGCAGTGGCCTAAAGGTGGAGCTCTCACCTCACAATCAGGAAGCTGTGAGTTCGAATCTGTTATTTCTCTCTCTGGGCACACTGAGAATATATTTGCTGAACAAAACTCCACATTGGTGACAGAAAAGGCATCTGGCCATTCAAACACTCTGCTAGCTCCATTCAGTTGTCCAGACCAGGGATGGGATCAGAGGTGGTATTCAGCAGGTTCTGACCAGTTCTAAAGAACCGGTAGCAGAAATTTTGAATAGTTCGGAGAACCAGCAAATATCACCTCTGACTGGAGATTTAAAAGTATCCTTCCCCTGCCACGCCCACCAAGCCACGCCCACAGAACCAGTAGTAAAAAAAATTGAATTCCACCACTGGGTGGGATGCTACCGGTTCTGCCTGGCTCTATAGAACTGGTAGCTCTGAAGAGCAGCAGACACCAAACCGGTTCTGTGTTTGCTGCTGTTTGGCCCACCCACCTGCCTGGGCTCTCACCTGTCCTTTATTTCCTGCCTTTTCAACCTTAGCTGCTTTGCACAGCACAGCTGAGGTTGAAAAAGCAGGAAAAAAGAGGGTTTTCAAACGCTGTGCACCTATGCGCTGCGCTTTTCAGCTCTCAGGGCAGCACAGCTTACGTTTTTTTTACATGCACGCGCAGCAAAACATAGTCACCGAACCTAGTAACACCGATTGAATCCCACCCCTGGTCCAGTTCCACCCTACCAGGGATTATGGGGTCATTAAAAGAAGATGATGACAACGACAGTGTATTAAAGTTATTGAAGAGGACATTTTTGAACTAGTTTCCAAGAAAAACATAACCCCACTTGTTCAGGGCAGATGATGAGATTACTTTCTTCCCACATGGGAAGAACGTGGGATAGTTTTCTTGACATCTTCTCTCGATTCATCTTTCTTTCTAAGAGGCCCCATCACTAGGTTCTACAATATTTTGGACCTTCTAGGTGGTAAAGTTAATTAACCAGCCAGGCATAGTAATATTATGGCAGGTTAAAGGAGAAAACCATAATATGTTCTTTGTGCATGTTGAATTCCAGAATACGGAGCAGCCAATGTATAGATGATTTAAGGTGCCATATGATCATTTCAATCAATCCATTAATAACATGTGAATGTATGCCTGGCATTTGAAAAATGTGGAAATAAAGCATGGCAGATGCTCTTTCCTTACTGCTGGGTTAAAACACTAGCCAACTCTCCTTGAACCTGTCGAAAGCTACACCGGGGTGACATGTGCTTGTTGCCAATCCCTGTCTGCCTCTTGTTCTGTGTCGCTACTAGATGGAATTCCTCTGGATTTGTTTTCTCCCACTTCCACTCATCATCGGTTGGGAGGAAAAAAGATTCCCATTATTGATCCTGCAGGATGACTCAGGAATCCTGGCCACTGGGCTCTCTAGGCTTCTTCTTGTGCCTTGTAGATCCATTTTGTTGTTTTTGTTTTTGTGTGGGAGGCCTTCAATCAGCACCGAGTCTTGGCAACTGTCTGGACAAGGTTCTGAAGTTTTTGTGAAAATGTTTTTAGAAGTGGTTTGGCCTTGCTTCCTTCTTCCTAGGGCTGAGAGAAAGAGAGTGACTGGCCCAAGGTCACCCAAGGTCTAGGGTTCATGCTCTCCCAATTTCTAACCTGATGACTTAACCATTAAATTAAACTTTCAGAATTGAATACAATAAACAACCACACAACAGACGGGAGTTATGAAGTTGGCTGAACCATGAACAGCACTTCACTTCAGATGTTTCTTAATTTCCTTTTGGGAGCACAAGCCAATTTCTCGAGCTTTCCATATTATCTTTGAGAGTATTAATGGTGGAGGCTGGGCCCATCCTTCTAACAATACAAAACTTTTAACGTTGCGTTTAATCAGTAGCATTCAAACTCGTGCACTACAGCCAACTGAGCTAATGAACCGTACTGGAAAATTCTGCACCTAGCTGTCAAGGAGCTCAATGGCAGAACATTGACTGATGAGACTGACTGCAGATTAGAGAGAAAGAAGCATATCTGCATAATTTTGAAGCTGCTACTGAATATCTCAGTTAGTCTCTAATGTAATGGGTGGGGAAGCATGATAGATTTTATAGAAACCTTGTGTTTGTCACTGAATCCAATTGCCTTAAAGAGGGAAACAGTCCTCTAACATTGCTACATCAAAGAATGACATAAACCTGTCTCATTCATGAGTTAGGAACAAGATGATAGCCATGCCAAGGAAAATTGGTGGAAACAAGATATTGCCAGAACTTGTTTATGCCAAGGTTAGGTGCAAATGGGGAAATAGCCCAGGGGAAAGGGGGACCAATAATGTGAGTGCTCCTTGGTGCTCTGTGAGCTTGGTGTTTTTCTTGCCAGACGTTGCATGATCAAACTAGGTAACATCATCAGTGCCAGCCAGTGGTAGGATGTTGCCGGTTTAACAATCAGTTTGAATGTATATTGAACGTTATAACCTTAAGGTATACATTGAAGTTTAAAAAAGAGTTGAATGGATAAAATTAAAAGATATAAAGGTGTCATACTCCAATTAGTAACTACAGGAGAAAATTTGTTTAATGAGAAAAGATCATATGAAATTGAAACAGGACAGACAAAAGTTTAAACATAATGATTTGGACTGAGATGAGATAATCAAAATAAAGTTGAGAAAATTAAAAGAGGGGAAGACCTATATCGAAAATGCAAAATAGTAATAAGATATGGAATAGAACACAAAAATGAGCATGAAATTGAGTTTGTCTGTATAAAGAAGTGTAACCCGGAACCATGATATTTTCAAAGAAAGATGTTTTACTGGTATTTTGTGTGTGTGAAAACCCAAATAAAACTTTATTTTTTTAAAAAAATTGGTTTGGTGAATGTGTGCTTGTGCTGAAAATGGAGATTTAAAAGCTCAGCTGCTTACCTTCCAAGTCAGCAACGGTAAGTAGAACAGCGAGGAGGGGAGGGGGAAGTCAGCTGTGCCATGTGATTGAGATGAGGTACAAAGCAGGAAATAAAGGACAGGATAGGGCGGGGGGCAGGTGGGCAGGGCCAACTGATCATCATAATTACTGGTTCGCTACTGGCGCCATCACATTAGCACTTGTTTTAGTAATGCAATGTCTTCAAGAAAACCACCAAACTCAGAGAGCACCATGGACCACAGTCCAACCCAAAGCTCTTCTCTTCTACTGGATCAACAGATCCCTGGCCACTAGGGAGCACTCTGAAACTATTTTGAGCAAGTAAAAAAAACTCCATGTGCAAACATTTTGAAGTCACAGAGATTTAGAATTAAAAAAAAAAACACAGTGGCAAAAGACTTGAAAAACTGAGTTTAAGATAGGAAAGAAGATAGGGCTACCTGGATTGCATCTAACTGAATAATGTACAAAACAGAATTAAGATCCCAGCTTACTCACTTCACGAGCCTTGACTTTTGGCTCTTGAATTTCCCAAATTCACCTGGTGCTGTCCACTCTTTTCCAGTCTGAACAAAGATACAAAACATCCCTTTTAGATTTGGTTTCAGTCGCATAAAGCCCAAACACATTTGTTTCACTCACTATGTAATTATGTATAAAAGATTAAGCAGAGATTAAATAGCATAATAAACATTGTCCATGGTAATTAAAGACAGGAATGCTCTTGACTGCTACTTGCTCTTGGCCTTCGAGACAGGACAGCATGTCTGTCAAAGCTGGATGAGAGATATAAGAATAGATGAGCTGTAGTGGAAGTGGAAGAGGCTGTTCACCTACTAGATTTGCAGTCTGCTACCGTGTCATTCTTGGCTGACCCACATTTAGATGGGTGCAGTGTGGCTGTGACTGAGTAAATGAGGCCAAAAGGAGAAGCAGAGACAAAGCAAAAATTATGCGCTATAAATATTGAATGAATATATGCAGCCATGCATGAAATAATGAAATAAGACATTTCAAGAGCGGGCTAACATAGACAAAAAGCATGAAAGTTTTAGAAGGTAGGATAGCATGTTCTTACACCTTTTGTTACCATTTTTTAATTTTATAAAGTTAAATTTTTTAAAAAAAATATCCAAATACTTTCGAAATGTGACTTTGCATGACAATAGTCCATACATTTAAATTGATAACATTCTGCCTATTTTTCATTATCATCTTCATTTGTGTAACCCAAACATCACAAGAGAGATTGTTTTCATAGTTTGAGAACTCATGAAGACTAGAACTGGAATCTCCATGGCCCTTGGATTAATACATCCAACATGTAACAAACATATGTGGTTATGAAATGTTAAATTATGTATAGGACAAGTTGCTGTGATATATACCCTTAACTCTTTTGGAGTTCTATGCTATGTTGGGTATCTGCAGGTAATAGAATTAAATGGGAACCATATTACATTATTTTCTCATTTCATTCTTAATTTCCCATTTTGTATCCCACTACAAATCTGACAGTTGGTATCTCTGGTCTCTGTAATAGTCCCAGGTAATTCTATAATTCTTACTACACTATGGGATACTTGAGACTATATGACAGCTGTCAAGCATTAAGATATAATGGTTGAAACATGAATTAATCTCAATAGTAAATTGATATTGTAAAGTTGTATTGATTTCAAGTGCACAACATTTATTAATTTATATGGACAACTCTTTTCTTTTGAAGTGTAGTAACAGCAATAGCTCTTAGACTTATATACCATTTCACAGTGTTTTCTATCCCTCTCTAAGCGGTTTACAGAGTCAGCCTATTGCCAATCTGGGTCCTCATTTTACCGACCTCGGAAGGATGGAAGGCTGAGTCAACCTGAGAATCAAACTGCCGAACTGCCAGCAGCCGACAGTCAGCAGAAGTAGCCTGCAGTACTGCATTCTAACCACTGTGTCATCACATGTATGTTGTACATGAAATAAAAAAAATCAAAAGAACGTGGTTGATCACCTTGCCTACACTGGCCATCAGTTGAAGCTCTGAGATGTTTTTCCCTTGGCTCAGCCAAAACTCAGCATTGTCATCAGCCCCAATCGCAAACTGAAATATACCTACAGGAATTTAAAAATAAAACTGGATTTAAAAGTAAGAAATATTCTAAACAGATGGGAAATGGTGTTCCATGCCAGTGGAAGCAGAGTGATGTATCTTTCATAAAAAATATCATCTCTGTTGAATGATATGACGATGTTTCTTTAGTTTTTCACACAGTAACAATTTTCAAAAATTGGAATAAATCCAAAGGTAGAACAAACAGTTAAACTTTCTGGTACATATCTGCACTCTTAGCAGATATTCAATGAGAAACATTTTCCTAATGCCTATTAATGCTTGATTGATTTTTAACCATTCCTATTTTTACCATCTACCAAAGAAGTCCAGCTAGCATCAATTGTGATGCTGAGTATCCATTTAAGAAGCTTCAAACACAACTTACTTTTTGAGCATATGCAGGTTTGTACTATACAGGTAGTCCTCGACTTACAACATTTAGTGACTATTTGAAGTTACAATGGAACTGAAAAAAGGACTTAGGATTGTTTCTCACACTTACACCCATTGCACGTGATCAAAATTCAGACGCTTGGCAACTGGCTTGTATTTATGATGGTTGCAGTGTCTTAGGATCATGTGATCCCCTTTTGCGAGCTTCTGACAAGCAAAATCAATGGGAAATCAGATTCATTTAACAATCATGTTAACAACCACAGTGTGTCAACTCATAAAATATTTCTGTGGTCTTTTAGAGTTGCCAACAGAAAGGGAGTGGGATACAGCGGGCGGCTTGAATTCCATAAATGTTTTCAAAGATAGTTTCCAGGCAACCGAAGTTTCTGCCATGCAAAATTTTAGCCGGAGAGCATGATTGATGACTCTTGGCTATGGATGTGTCTCATTGGAGAATATGAATTATGATACACCTGGGGGGTGGGGGGAAACTAGGGTCAAGGGTGACAATGAATTATGTGTCTCAGAGTCGGCTACACCCAGGCAGTGCCGCATCTTTTAACTAACTTTTAACAGTTTGGCTAGACACTCATGATTTAAATGGGGTTTAAGTGTCGGAATCCTGACACAGTGATTCGTTTAACAACTGTGACAAGAAAATGGGACAAAATTCACTCAACAAATATTTCACTTAGCAATGGAAATTTTGGGCAAAATTGTGGTTGTAAGTTGAGAGCTACTTGTATTTGATGAGGAGTGTAAAGTTTAAACAGAAAAGTAAGACAAAAGCCCTTTAAAGCCCTTCATGGCTTGGGACCAGGTTATCTGTGGGACTGTCTCTTGCTGATCACATCTACCCAACCCACCAGAGCCAGGAAACAAGGAACGTCGCAGGTCCCATCTCTGAGGGAGATACACCTGGTGGGACCCAGAAGAATGGCCTTCTCTGCGGTGGCTCCCTCTCTCTGGAACATCATCCCCCCAGATATTAGAATGGCCCCCACTCTATCACTCTTCCGGAAAGTGCTGAAGAGCTGGTTCTGCCAGCGGGCCCGGGGAATATAGAGCAGGATGGAGCCCATTAAATGCTTCGTGTGATGTGTTGTAACTGGGGGGGGGGGGGGAGTTTATTATATTATTTTATTAATTTTAAATATGATTATCCTCTTTTTATTAGTTTTATTGTTTTATATGTGATGTTTTTATATTCCTGTAAGCTGCCTTCAGTCGCTATGTGCGAATAGGCAGCAATATAAATTCCCTAAAACAAATAAATAAAAAGAAATGTAAACAATAGAAAATTTAGGGGTTAATAACGCAGAATAGAGCAAGTGGTGATAAACGCAGGACATTGTCTCGGTGTCCAGAAACCCGTGATAACTCCAGATTCAAACATTAATCTGCCATAAAGGTGACACTGTCTAAGAAAAGGACTTGCATTTAGTGCAATAGACTTAAGCATATACTAATCTATGGGATGCATTCTGCAACACTTTTATGTATTTACGCAACAGCAGGTCAGAATCCACATGTGGGCCTGCCTGTACAAAGGAGTAACAAATATAAAGGATACATTAATAGTGTTATTTAAAAGCTATGGAACTCTCTTAGATCGAAGCTATTCCATGCTTGTAAAGTTGTTTGTAATACAGCCAATTCTACTCTTCCCTTACCATCCTTGTATGGATGCAGGTAACCAAATATCCGTAATCCATAGTTTCTCCATTTGGGTGATACTGCTAGCTTCTTCAAAGTAGTCCGTGTCTAGAAGTATAAGAAAAAGGAAATGTTAGCATTATTGAATTGAGCTGCAGTAAGATAAAGGAATGCAGTAGAAAGAACAAAAAGAAATGGTTAGGAATTCTGAAATAAGATCGAGGCTATTCAGAGAAACGGAGCACGGGCAAGAACAAAACAATGTCAGGATAGAGCTGGAAGGGACCTTGGAGGTCTTCTAGTCCAGCCCTCTGCTCAAGCAGGAGATTCTATGCCATTTCAGATAGGTGGCTGTCCAGTCTTTTTAAAAAAACCTCCAGTGATGAAGCACTTCTGAAGGTAAGCTGTTCCACTAGTTAATTGTTCTCAATGTTAGGGAGTTTCTCCTTAATTCCAGGTTGCTTCTCACCTTGATTAGTTTCCATCCATTGTTTCTTGTCCTGCCTACAGGTGATTTGGTAAATAAGTTGACTCCCTCCTCTTTATGGCATCCCTTCAAATACGGGAATCCTGCTATCATGTCACTCGTAGTCCTTCTTTTCTCCAGACTAGCCATACCCAATTCCTGCAACCATTCTTCATATGTTTTTGTCTCCAGGCCTTTAATCGTCTTTGTTGCTCTTCTTTGCACTTTTCCCAAAGTCTCAACATCTTTTTTGTAATGTGTTGCTTCATGCTCAGGCTGTGACTTGAATAGTTTAACGTTTTAAGGCAATCATTTTTACTAATATCACTTTGCTTTCAGCATCAGTAATCTCTGGCTTTTAAATCAATGAGCAACTTGCACTTAACATAGCAGTGCGGATCCCAAAATATCAAGTGTAGCAGCAGCTTCAGCCCTATCATTCTAATTCTTGCCAACAGGTAATCTTGTACAAACTAAGTTTAAAAATACAGTAATCTTGCCCGAGGAGCCATGTTTTATTATTTAAAATAAGAACAAGCTTAACCTAAGCCCAGCTTTGAACTCATTCCAATGTATATGCCCTTATTTCTTATGCAGGCAGCACTGGAAGCATTTGTTTGCACATTCTTCACACTCATGTTGTCCAGACCCAATAAACTACAATGAGCTTTATCTAAATTCTTCTATAAACACTTCCAAGTACAAATCGTAATTATTTTGTGTTAGAAGGTCATAATCTTAATTTTGTTTTAAATGTTGTTACGGATGGTAAGAAAGGCAGTGACGTCAACAAATCATGATTTAGAAAATCCTGAATTAAATGTACCCAAACACTATTGGAAGGCAGAATTCTTTCTTCATTTTGTAAAAGAGGGGAATGTGGGCCTAAAGAAGTTCAAATTATTCTATTTTACACACATTTTGAGAGGACCCAGCTCTCTGGAGAAAGCTCTAGCACTGGGTAAGATAGTGCTAGAAGGAAAGAGAAGAGGATAGCCAGCAGTAAAGTGGACGGACTTCATTACAATGATCATTAGTGCACAGTTGGAAGACCTGAGAGACTAGGTCAGGCACAGATCTTTGTGGAGAAAGTCTATCTATGTCAGAGGTCTCCAAACTTGGCAACTTTAAGATTTATGGACTTCAACTCCCAGAATTCTCCAGCCAGCATAGCTGAAGTGCACAAGCCTTAAAGTTGCCAAGTTTGGGACCCCTGATCTATGTGATTGCTAGGAGTTGAAAACAACTTGGTGGCACATCATCAATCAATAGGCCTTAAAGGATACTCACATGAGGATACAAAGGAAAGTGAAGATTTCTCCTCAATTGTTCAATAGATGCACCACACCAGTCTTCAAAAACATGAAGATTTACTTGACCTTGGAACTGCAAACATATGAAAATGCAACAGTTTTTGTTATCCAAATGCCCCTATAATCTGTTACATTATTTTACAACTTAAAGGCTAAAGATTACAAGATAAACAAGGCGCTCAGGAAGGTTACATGGCATCCTCCATGAAAATGTAACCAACTTGGGTGATTGCAAGTTGTGATTCTCAACCTGTGTTTAAGGATCACTATTGGTCCACATGGGTACTGCAAATGGACCATATTCCAAGCACTGAAATAGTTTTTTTTTCTTTTTCTAAAAACAAATGGCCAAAATCTTGTTGGATTCCCAAATCAGGATATTTCAATTAGGAACACAATAATCTTATTTAACTCAGTTTGATCTAAATTTGATCCTGCACAAACCAGTTGTGTGAACTCTACATGCTGGGGTGCCTGAAGTATCACTTTGCCAACCTATGTCTTACATGGAGGTGCTTAAATATTATGGATGGCAAAGTGACACTCTTCATAGAAGAAATATTGGCAATTGCAATTTTTTTAATCCTATTATATGTAACATCATAAATCACATTTCCTCCACATGCTGTCCTCCAGAAGAGTGAGACTTGTAGGCATATTTTACACCTGGGCTTGCTGGGAATTTATCCATAAAGCTCAGGTGAGTCAATAAAGCCTTAGATAACTACACTGTTTAACCTTGATTCTTCAATCTAAATTGTGCATTTTCTGGAGAAATTGCTCGTGCCCTCTTCCTTCCTTCCTTCCTTCCTTCCTTCCTTCCTTCCTTCCTTCCTTCCTTCCTTCCTTCCTTCCTTCCTTCCTTCCTTCCTTCTCTGCCTTTCTTCTAGGTGCAGAATCAAGCCTCTGGTTCCTCAATTAATTTGTTTGACTCCATCCAAATAAAAACCTAAATAAATACAATAATGGATCCTTTAGTCTTGGCTTCAGTTTCTCTTTTTATCATTCAAAGTTTTATTAGTTCCTCCAAATATAATATAAAATACAAACATACAAGACAGAATAATAGGAAAATAAAGAGTGGGGGAAAGGAAAAATGTAGGGCAAAGGGAACAAAGAAGAAAAACATTGACTTCTGACTCCTTTTGGTGCAGTTGAATAAGATAATAGCATCAAACTTCAACTTTTTTACTTTTATATAATAAATGAACTAGTCATTTCTATAACAACAAACCTATCTAATCGGCAAGACTCAAAATCAAAGTTTCATTTTCCCACACCTCAAGGACAAAGTCCAAAAGTGGTTTTCAAGTAAAAACAAAGTTTATTATGTTCTTGCCTTCAGTTTCTGACTTTAGATAGACTCATAGCAGGTTGGAGAAAAAAAGACATTTAAACAGCAACAAGGTTAATATTTTGGAATGGCACTATCTATGAAAATCTAAAGGTGTGGAGATTTACTTACAGTGCATGTAATTAAAATATTACCTCTAGGTAACGTTGAAATTCATATTATCTAATTTTATTATAGAATTTAACACATCTTTAAATATAGTACTTGATGCAATGGCACTGGAGATAAACTGATATGTATGTTTTGACAGCTTGGTTCACTTTGCTTCAACTACTGTATACTAAACATTTTACTGGAATGTGCCAATGTGTTTCTAAAGCAAATATTATAAGTGTAAATTAGGAATGAGACAGTCAATTAATTGAAAATATGTATCAAAACCTAAAATCAATAGCAATTCTCTGTTATCAGTATTCTTCATAGCTTACTCAAATTTCTTCTGGGTAATGGGTGCAATAGCCATTTGCACTTTATTAAAAGGGTAAATGAGCAGCAATAGAAGCTGGGATATAATCTAAGGATGTCCAAGGTCCAGAATTATGCCAAATTTAATAGACACTTTAATTTGAGAACTTTACGAAGAGAGCTGTGAAAATATTTACAGAACCTTCACATCCCAGACATAAACTGTTTCAACTCCTTCCCTCAAAGTGGCGCTACAGAGCACTGCACACCAGAACAACTAGACACAAGAACGGTTTTTTCCCTGAACGCCATCACTCTGCTAAACAAATAATTCCCTCAACACTGTCCAACTATTTACAAAGTCTGCACTACTATTACTACTAACCTTCTCATCACTCCTTATCACCCATCCCCTCCCACTTGTGACCGTATGACTATAACTTTGTCACTTATATCCTTATGATTTATATTGACTCTTTCCTAATATGATTTGATTGCTTATTGTACCCTATGACTATCATTAAGTGTTGTACCTGATGATTCTTGACTCTTGATGAATGCATCTTTTCTTTTATGTATACAGAGAGCATTTGCACCAAGACAAATTCCTTGTGTGTCCAATCACACTTGGCCAATAAAAGAATTCTAATTCTAATTCTTTGTCTTGTCTGAGGCCTAACACATCTTCATTTAGATGTAGAATCTCTGTTCTAAAAAAAACTAATTTTTTTACTGTAAAGGGCAATGACTAGTAAGTAGACTATTTTCACTATTTTAATTTCTTAATTCCTTAAAAAAGTAGACAATGACTATGTTATCTTGTGCCAAATTTCCATTGATGAGAACAAAGAAACAGTCCTGTGCAATTCCTTCGTCTCACACCATGTAAAAAGAAATAAAATAAAGTGATGTCTACTCATGTTCAATAATGTCTTTATCACATACAGTGTATTTCTTTCTGGCAGTATGCAAAAAGAAAACCCCCCAAGCAAAATAAAATAATTCAAAAATATTCCACTGAGAAGCACCCACAAAGCTGCCAAACTAACTTTCTCCACGAAAGATCTTCTAGGGCACCTGAAGCCCAGGAGGAAAGGTGAGGCAAGAGTTCTTAAAAATAGTAAACAGATTGCCTGCAACCTCCCCAGAGCTACATCATGTGAGGGGGGGGGGGGCTATTTTTTCTGCAATTTCAAATACAATAGATTTGGACCAAAAATATATAGGCTTAGCATATGGACATTAAGCGGGTGCAGTGGCTCAGTGGTTAAAGACACTGAGCTTGTCAGCTGAAAAGCTGACAGCTGGGGTTTGAGACCCAAGGACTGCACGACGGGGTGAGCTCCTGTTCTTGTTCCAGCTCTGCCCACTTAGCACTTCAAAAGTATGCAAATGCAAGTAGATTAATAGGTACCACTTTGGTGAGAAGGTAACAGCATTCTGTGCACCTTTGCCATATAGCTGTGCTGGCCACATGACTACATAAAGTGTCTTCAAACAAGGCTGTCTCCCTTGGCTAAGAAACAGAGATGAGCACACTGTGTCCTAAAGTCAGATATGACTGGACAGGAAACCTTCACCTTTTTACCTTATGGACATTATCAATATCTTAAAAACGTATTTTGGAACTGGCACTGAGTCCTAATGTAGGAGTACCCTGACTTCGATTTGTAGGCACTGCTGGTTTCATGCAGTGCATCATAAATATACCAATCAACATACAAGCAGGAGGTATAAAATAGTTTTTAAAATGGATTTCAAATTCTCACTTCTAAGGCCCACTTCTTTGGGGACAGATGTTATGAGGAGAATAGATCTACAGAACAACATGAGAGAAAAAAATTGACAGATCTTGTGCAGGCAGCCAATCCCTAATCATTTCTCCATAAGCAATCTTTTCATAGGTCACAAGCTTCCTCACAAAATGAATACTTCAGCTTCAACCATAACAATACAAGAACACACAATAGATACAAACTCAAGGTTAACTGCACCAAACTTGACTGCAGAAAATATGACTTCAGCAACAGAGTGGTCAATGTTTGGAATACTCTACCTGACTCTGTGGTTTCTTCCCCAAACCCCAACCTTAGACTGTCTACTATTGACCTCACCCCCTTTCTAAGAGGCCTGTAGGGGGCATGCATAAGTGCACCAATCGTGCCTATGGTCCCTGTCCTATTGTTTTTTTATTTTTCTTATAAGTATCTCATGTATTCAAAACAATATTTATTCTTATACCTGTATCTTGGAAGCAATTAACAAATCAAATAAATACAAAATACAACATGTTGTGAAGTAGAGAGCAATCATGACAAGAAGAAGAAAAAAATGGAGAAGGTTATTGAGAACATTTCCTTATTCTACATTTTCTAAATGGCCTTCAGAAAGTTGACAAAATTGTAGGTCTTTAGGGAAACAATCGAATATATGTTTAAGCTGGGGTGGGCTTCAAAAATTTTAGCCAAGGGTTCTCTGCCCAGTTGCTGGGTGGGTGTGGCCATGGTGGGTGTGGCCTAACCAGCCTCCTGCACCGTGGTGAGCGGGGGGGTTGCCTTCTCTGGACTCCAGAGGCTTTTCTTGAGCCTTGAGGAGGGGAAAAATGGCCTCCCCAGGCTCCAGAGGCTCTCTGGAAACCAGAAATGGGTCCACTTCCTACCTTCCTGAACTTCTGGGAGGCTCGTTTTTCACTCTCCCTGAGCCTCCGCACGCATCCTGTGCTTACCTGCATCCAAAACGGGTCATGTGGGAACTCCTAGGAGGAGAGGGGCAGGGTGGGTGGGGCCAGCCAGGACTGGGATATGTGGGTTCTCTGAACTGCATAGAATTTCACCTAGGGGCTCTCCTGAACCCCTGCGGACCCACAGCAGCCCACCCGTGTTTAAGAGTAGAGTAAAATTTAGGAAATATATTCCTTGAAATATGCACGTTTACTTCTAAATATAAGGCTTGTTTATTATATTTATACCCCTTTCAGGGATGGGATTCTACTAGTTTGCACCTATTCGTTAGAACCAGTTGTTAACATTCTAAGCAGTTTGGAGAACCAGTTGTTAGGAGAAATTACTGGCCTAATCCTGTAAAGAAGGCAGGAAGGAAACATTCTGGTGTTGCTTACAGAAACTGCCTCTCCGTTAACCTTTATTACATTCTTGGCAGGACTAGACTTCCTGTCTAAGGAACGTCTCTGGAGGTTTTTCCCTCCTTTGGTGGTACTTTGCTTGTGTGGAGTGACCATTCAAAGTTACAATGGCACTGAAAAAAGTGACTTATGACCCTTTTTCACACTTACAACTGTTGCAGCATCCCCACAGTCTTGAGAGGCCAGGTGAGGAGATGTGTACCTCGATGTGAGTGAT